TGCAATGCATGTAGCATAAAGAGGGTCCTGACTATATCTCCTAGTTCATAAACTATGTTTCCCCCATAGGAATACTAGCTAGTGGATCCACGTAGTTGCTATGTTTATGCTTTAATACTACCTTGTCAAGTAGTCCACCTTTTTTCGGTGTAGGGTTCCATAACACTGGATTCCACATTAGCTTATGTGGTCTATGTCGGTTAGAGAAAGATGTTCGCAAAAGGCAAAATGAACTAAAGGATTGAACTCTAACTAAGATGACTTACGGGGTTTATCTTAGTCTAGGTAGAGGTATGGAACTCTACCTAAACATTGCACTAGTTAGCCTTGAGGGGAGTATAAGGATGATGTTCTTATGTATGAATATGCTTATAATGCTATATGACATGTATATGATGAACTTGCACATTATTGATACTATATGTTGATTTGTGCCGCTTATGAATATGTGTTGGTCTATATTGTTAAAGTATGATGCTATGTACTCTTAAATTTATGATATGTGAAGTGGTAGGTTAGTCATGATTCTTGTTAGGTTACTTGATTGAGTAAGGTTATGGGGATTTTTTTTATCATTGCACTTGTTGACTTGATAAGGGTTGTGGGTAATTGTCTTACTTTAGCCATGTTGAAATGTACTCTTATTCATGAATGTTGCTATTATGATTTGATGATGGAGTTACTTGACTGTGTGTTCAATTATAGTATTTCATGTTGACTTGACTAGTTTGGATGTTGTTGGTCTTGTGAAATACATGCTTATGACTTAATAACTATGTCTTATTGATTTGGTATGGTCTTCTTGATGCATAAGGTTTTCAAACGGGTAAAATAGCATGTTTTCAAGAAAGGTCCCTTTTTAGCATGATTTGATAATATGTGTGCATATGGTCTGATACTTAGTACGCTACTCGTACTAACCCCATTTCTTCCTTTTCCCAAACATTTTAGGTTTTGATTGTTGAAGTGCTTTTGATACGACTTGAAGAAGACTTGGATGTCTTGATCATCCAAGTAGGGTAGGTTCTTACTTTTCGAGGGCGATGACACTATCTAGCTAATGGAGTGGTTACGAATTTTAGACTCTTATATTTTTTTCCTTTCATATTGAGTACTAACAATTGTATGACCTACATGTTGTCTTGTTTCATTGATGTATGGGCTAGGCCCAATTTGATATACTCTTATTAGATGAGATGATTATTATGACTATGTTACATTTTCTACATATCTACGTGCAATAAAAGTACAAGACTAAGTAATCTTCCTATACGAAGGGCATATGTATACTCAATATATATACTATGTGTATGTAGAGGTCTATATAAACCTCCAAGTAGAAGAAATGAAAATTTTTAAATTTTCTGCTAAATTTGACCTATGAATGTAATGATGTAAGCTAAGATGCTAGCCTAAGTCCTCAAAGATGACGACGACGCCGATTACGTCTGGGGGCTATTCCCGTACGTGACAAGTATGGGATGCTACTTTCACATTGCAATAGTGTAACTTGGGGGTTGTGGTAGAGGATGGTCCTTATGTGAATTTTAAATGCATGAATGTTTCTTTTAAGTAATGAATGTTGACTTGTTGAGTTAAAAGGAAGTATGCTTATATTTGATAGTCTTAAGGATCACTAGGCGTGTATTGAAGAGGTTGTATGAGTGGTCTCTTCATGTCTTACCTAGGTGAGTCTTAGGATAACTTTGGATAAAAATTTCTCCACTTTCCTATACTATATACCTAAGATACTTGAAATAACTGTCTCTTTAGGGACTTGTGTGTGAAAACTCACTTCCATGTCTACCTCACACACCCCATCATTGAATTTATACTCCACATACCCTGTCTTGATCTTATTGGTAACGACTGGGGAGCACCCTCTAGAAGTCACACGGCGTACTCGACCTCTCGGAGGTCTTGTACAAGCCTCTTAACTTTCATTCATTACATAGGTATGAAAAGTAGTGCAGAATTAAAAATTTTCACAACATAACTAATAAGAAACTCTTTTATTAAAACTAAGGAACAAGTTTCATCATCACGAGCCAACTTAGACACGTCTTAATATTATAGGGTCACGTCCCTTTACATTGAAAAGAAACTCATAGTCTAATACAAGTCTTTAATAGAAAGAAAACTAAACATAATATCTTCGTCCCCGAACATATGAGGATGTACCACGAGACTTGAGAGAACTCTATTTTCTAAGCTTCAACTTCTAGAAATCTTCACTTCCTTCCATCTATACTTTGGAAATATAGAAGAATATGGATTTAGTACAAACATTGTACTAAGTATGGCATTATGCAAAAACATGCTTTCAAATGACGTTTTAATTAAAACATACATTCATGCTATTTTGGAAAACCTTCATGAATCGAGCATCCAAGACATCATATAAGTCATCATTAATATACAAAGTAATACTACCATAATTCTCATCATGCAATCACATTCATAAAGTAATCCATTTATCATTTATAGGGATATCATGCATCCTATTGATGTGGCATGAATCAGATAAAATGAAGCTTGCCTTCGGAGTCTTGTGTTATAAAAAGTACATCTGAAACTCAAAGGTAAGTTTTACAGAGTGATGGTTAGACCATTGTCTAGTAAAAACATCCATGTCTAGAAAATACATGTTTTAGAGATGAGAATGCTAAGATGGATATGTGCCCATATTGGGATCAATGATATTATAAATGAGGATATCTGAAACATAATGTGGGAGTGACTCTATAGTGGACAAGATGGGGGAAGTGAGACTAAGATGGTTTAGACATTTGGAGAAGAGATGCAACAATGCACCGGTGAAGATGTGTGAAGGGTTGGTTATAGAGGGTACGAGAAGAGGTAGAGGTAGACAAAAGAAGTATTGGGGAGAGGTGATAAACCATGACATGACGCAACTTCAAATTAACGAGGACATACGCAACCTTAGATAGGATGGTGATGCGGACATGCATTAGGGTAGAATGTTAGTAGGTAGTGTAGTGTTGTCTTTGCTTAGGATGACTGGTATTTTCCATGGTACTAGTTGTATTATTATAGTTTTTTTAATCGTTGTTTATAATTATTTGCAATGATCTATCCTAATATATGTTGTTTATTGCATTTGATTATCACATTATTTTATTATTATTTTCAATTTCTTTCAAGTAAACTTTACATTGTTTGTTTGCTACATTCTCTTCGTTGTCTATCTGAATTTGTTGCGCTTGAACTGATGATCTTTTGAAAATAATATCTTTACCTTCATAAGGTAGTGATAAGATTCGTGGATTTCTACTTTCTTCGAATCTCATTTTCAGAATTTCAATGAATATGTACCAGTATATCACTGCTGTGGGTATGAATTTGGAGTGTCCTCAAATAATGGGTTGGAAAAAGAAATTCAAAATTCAAAATTAAAGGGTAAATCACAGCAATATTTTATATTTGATTTGGCATATTCTGACCAGAAAAGTTAAAATCAATTTTAAGAAGAGACATTCAAGTCCTGCCTGCAAATCTCCCTGTAAATCTCCTTATTATTAGTAAATGGAAGGAACTTTGTAGGGTTTCTTTGGCTTTGCTGACAGACTAAATTAATAAATTATTATATGCTGCAGAACTTTATAGTAGAATGATTAGTTACCGAATAATTATATTTATTAAGAAATGTTCTGGATCTTTGTATCAATTTTTGGTTACACGGTATATAATTTAAAATAAATTTTCTTTAAAGCAGGCATGATTTCTTTCAATAATATAACCTAATTAATATGTGATTAATTAGGTAATGATCTATGTAACACCAAAGATTAGTTGTCTTACACCTAAAGAAAATGAAGCTAGTCTCAATATTCTATAAATTGAAATGGAAATGAATTATTAACTAATGTTAGTCCAAAGTCCAAATGATCAAACTTCGTTGTTGTACTTTAATCTCATTCAGACAGCATATTATTGTAGAGTTCAAATTATTTTGATTGATTAATTTTGTTCAAAGTTTATCAATCAAAAATATTGTTTTGTCAAATAATTTTTTAGTGAAAGAAATAATTTATTTGTTACATGATTGATCATCTTATTTCTTAAAAAATTGTTGGCTTTAATATTTTAAGATATAATAATTAGTACTATAGTCCTAATTTTTTTCATGCAAGAGAGACCAAATTAAAAGAATCCTTGTGATAATTTATAACATGCTTGTGAGACCAATAATGGAAGTAACTCTCCTTATTATTAAAATAAGATAAGGCTGCAAAGCAGAAATGTTTTGTTTAACCCCATAAACTTTATTTTTTTGTTAATCTCTTTCCATCAAATGATTAATCTATTTCTTAAGGGTATCTTTCCATACCAGAACTCCACTACTCCATTTAACTTTTTCCTGTTTATTCATATTTTTTTAGAATAAGAAGCAAATTAAAGTCCTATCATTCATTGAGTCTAGTCAGAATCTCACCTATTAAAGCCAACCTGGGATTCTTTTGATGTCCCCCTTATTTTAATCATTTTATTTTTATAGTAATCAATTAAGTTTACTTTCTGTTTTATCAATTACCACTCTGTCAAAATACACTGACGGAAGCTTCTGTTTCAGGTTGATAATCAGCAGAAAGTAGTTTAATTTCTGCGCACTAACACCGAGGCAATATCAATACGTATTTGTGTTTTCCGGATTGTATCACAACTTATAACTTATTGAGTTGAGTTCGAACCGAAATTACTAAGTTATATGTTAATCATTGTATCTGCTCTTGCTTGGCTAGGGCTAAGAAATCTTTTCGATAAAAAATTACGAGTAAAATTTAATAAGGAACTCTAACTAATGATTCATAAAAGAATTTAGAAAGGGGTTACAGCTGGTTACAACATACCTGAATAATCATAAGTAGCAGTTTTAATTGCTCTATAATTTCACATCAACCGTGAAGGAATCTTTTAGAAGATTTGAGTATGAGATTACTCAGTGAACACTAATGGACAATGTGAATGAAAATGAAAGCTGATGATAATAACATCTTAATATCTCATTTATTTACAAAGAAAAAGAAAATTACATGTGCTGTTCGCACCCAAATGACTCTTGGATCTTAATAATGTTATTACACAATAAATACTCATCACTTAGCAAAACAAAAAATTCGTACAATTAAATTTTAGGTAATATTGTCAATTAGTAGTAATAACAATTTCTGAAGAAAGATAAAACTAAAAAATCTCTTCCTATACACAGAAGTCTCTTTCTTCCTAGACAAATGAATGGTGACTACATCTCAATTTTCATGTGAGACGTTTGATGAGGCCCTGCATCAAAAGATTTTAATAAAAACACTCATCAATTCATTATCAATTTATATAATTGAGCATTTTAATAAACTCGACGCGATCCCTCTTCTTACCTTGTGATTGCAGTGTCATATCCTTGTTGGGGTTTTGGGTAAATCCCATCTGCACAAAGCTTTGCAGGTCATCCTCAGGGAACTGGTGAAATGAAGTTGTTAAAATCAAATAACATGATGAGAAATGTTTGGTTTATACACTGATAATGTAAAATCTTGCGTCTTTGTAAATCAGTTAAATCTTGAATTATTATTATTACCTGATTAAGATATTCAGCAAATCCATCAAGGGGAGGCAATTGCATTCCCAGGCTACGGCATAGTGAGTTATCTGATGTGTCCACTGAGCATTGACTTAGTGCTCCATTAGGAATATCGCTCCGGCCTTGTTGGTAAGAAGATGATGTTTTATCTATTGGGAAAACAGGATGGGCCACAGAGCCATTTGGTTGACATATCTGAAAGAACACAAGATATTGTTTTAGAATGTCATGTAAAAGAACGAATGATAAATCATGATATACTTACATCCTTGGAGAGGGGGAAATCCAAATTTGGGTTCACTGTTGCCAACTTCATGGATAGGAACTATAAAACAGAAGAGTTAGCTGATGAATCACAATACATTTCATAGAATTCGCGATTAGGGAAACTGTGAATTACCTCGACTTGTCGTTGGAGTGACTGTACATAGTTTATAATTTCATCAAGCATTAGTGCTTTTCCTGTCACCTGGTACACAAATTAATGAAGCCGGGTTAGAAACAGGACTGGTATTACCAGAAAGGGATAAATTATTGATGCATTTCAGCTAACCTTGTTACAGCCAGGTACAAGATCTTGTAAAAGCTTCATTCTTTCACTAATCTTCTCCCGTCGCACCTATGGAAAAAGGAGATTGTTAACACGAGAAATATGGTCTTTGAAACAGCAAAGTGATTGTTAATGCTTACTCTTTCTGCTAAACTATGGCTATCAGTAGCTTGTCCTCTCCTTGCTCTAACATGAATATAGTCCTTTGGTGGTTCAGTAGGCTTTTGATATTCCATAACTTGTTTTTGGGTTTCATCATCCTTTGATTCTTCCATGTGTACTCTTCCATTTTCTATCCCATTACTTTCTACTTGCTTACATCGCTTTGCTCTTGCATTATCATCAGCTTCACTTCCCTGAAATGAAATTTTGATTATTGCATTTACTTAAATCTCTTTTTGACTGAGATAATAATCCTTACCCTGTTTCCATTAACTCCTTCAGTTGGGGAATCTTCCTTTGTTTTCCCTCTTGAAACTGTTTTTCTTTTTCTAGAACTAGAATTCAATTCAGTTGGAAGTTTCGATGCTGTTTCCCCACTTGGCTCTGAAACAGACTCGTTAGAGTTATTGGACATCATTTCCATCCGGGTTTGACCCGAATTCTTGAGTTGCAAAGGGGATCCACCTTGCTTGAGAGAAGGGCTACTCGAAACTCTAGGCAACTTTCCGTTCCCCAATGTTTGAGCAGATCTATGTGATAATTCCGTATAGTTCAACCCCAACGGACTCGTTCTGCCGTTGAAACTACGACTCCCAAAACAGGAAAATTTAGCAGCTCTTTGAGCAAAACCTGGATCAGCAGGTAATGGAGGAGGAAGTGAACTTCCCAAATTGGGTATATTATCTTTTCCCATCATGGGTCTACTATAACTGTTATTGTGCAAAATCGGTTGAGGGGAGCTGCAAACAGTACCCAGTTTTCCAATCAACTCAGCAGGAGAAGAAGATACAATCGAGTTCAAAGTTGAGTCAAATTGAGGTGTTGAATGATCCCAGTTGGGGTTAAACAAAGATTGCCCTGAATGTAAGGGATTCCAAGAAGGGAATGACATAGTAGGTTCAAACTGAAGGGCTGGATTAGGGATTCCTCCATTGATGAAGTAGTCTTTTTCCATGGAAAATGAATGATTAAATTGAAGTTTAAAAATATTAAGAAGAAAAAATTAGGGAGAGGGAAGTGAAATAAATAGAGAGAGAGGAAGTTATATAGGTGGAGACTGGAGAGAGAGAAAAAAGATAGTTGGTTTTGATGTTTATTTGTTTGTATATTTAAAAAAATGGAAGAAGAAATGGTGGGGTAGTAGTTAGGGGCTGTAGCCGGGAAAAGCGGAAAGTAGGGTGAATTGCCGGGCCTTCGACGTACCGATTTATTCTACTATTTTACCACCTTTTTTTTTTCTTCATCAAACCTCTTATCCACTACTTCCGGGCTCCAGCTAGTCGCACCACCAATTTACCCAAAAAGATTATTTTTTTCTATCACGCTCCACAACCTCCTCTTTATATACCTCCTCACCCGAACAATGCTCCTCTTTTTATTTTTTTAAAAGTTTCTTTTATAATATATTTTTAAAAATTCATACTTCAACCACTCGTTATTCCAAAAATTGATATTATTTTATTTTGTACACATTTTTTAGAATTCTTTTAATGTATCAAATATAATATAAAGAAAAATTTTATTTTTTAAAAAAGTCTTGAAACAACAAGTAAAATATATTTTCGATAAAAAATTGAAGCAAATAATTGGATGGAGCGAATTGTATTTGTTTTAAAAATAAAATAATTCCTAAATCAGTATTCGGAGGGGATGTAAGCCGGGAGTGGGGGTGGGGTAAAGATGAAGTTGAAGTAGAAAAATATATTATATTTTAATTTAAGCAGAATAATATTTTCTTGGGGTAATAAGTTTTAATCCTTAATTTTAACTAATATTTGATTTATTTAATTTTCGTCAAGGTGAAATTTGTTCAATGCGAAGTGTTATATGCTAATTTTTTAAGTAAGTGAGAAATTGTTTATAGACACCATAATGAGAGTGTTACAAAAGAGGTGATAGAATGTATGCCTTTACTTAACAAGTAATGGACTAGGTCCCTTACTATACTAATGAATAAAACAGAAAGTTAAATGCAGTAAAATCAACACAATGATTTTACGTGGAAACCTCCTTGCTTAAGGGAGTAAAACCACGACTTGTCTCACGGGATTTTCAATCGTTTTCACTAATCTTCAAAAGTAAAAGCGAAACACGATTACACCAAACGTAAGAAAGAGTTATCAATCTTACCGTTAAGCAATAGTCCTCTATTGCTCAACAAGCCTAAGTAGAAAAACAATCTACCCACTAAGCTATCCCACCTGGACAACCTAGACTTCTAACACAACACACCAATTCCTTTATAGATTCAAGAGTGGTTTACAATTTAAGAACAAGAGAATAAATTCCTAAACAACTAGACGAAAAGCTCTAGATGTTGCTGTTGTCCTTGGAATAATTCTGCCTTTGCTTTGTGTAGCCTTTGCAAGAGTTTTTGAAAAGTTTTTATCAAGTTGCAAAAACTAAACAAAAATGTTTAGGAAAGTGCCTTTTATATGGGCAAGTCACTTTCCTAAACTTCTTTGCCATTGGCTGGAAGAGTCACACTTTCTGACGTCATCGGGAAGTGTGCACCTACTTTCTGTACCGTCTCCAGCTGGCAGTCGGCTGGCTCGTCATCATGAGAGCCTGGTACCTCTACTAGGTCCCTGGGTTTGTTTCATCTGCAATACTTCAAACAGGACACCTGCAATACTCAAGTAGAAAACCCGGTACCTTTATGAGGTCCCTAAGTTTGTCAAATCATCAAAACTACAAATAACATTTTCTCCCTTTTTGATGATGACAAACAATGATATGATCTGAGATCTTCACCAGAATTGTTCCCCCTGACAGTGTATCCCCCCTTACTGTATATTCCCCCTTATTTAGGTACTAACAGATTACTTCCCCCTTATTTAGCTACTAATAGTTTACTTCCCTCTTTTGGGATCATAAAAAAGATATGCAGTAAACCATTGAGTCAACATAAATACTGAGCAAGATCAAAGCGAATAAGCAATCAAACAGTAGAGGAAGAGCAATCGCAAAAGAACATAGGAAGAACAGCAAAGGAATAAAGTAACCAACATGCCATTATAACATAAATACATTAAAGACAAACTAAAAATCCATCAACACGATGATTAGCCACACAAAAATAAATGACACGGGGAAGGATTGATTGACAGTTTAGGAAGGGGGGGGGAGTTTTAGATAGGGACTGGATAACAAGAGTGAGTCGTGCATTGGCAGCATCATTATCCTTGATGGCCTTCTCTTCCAGGGCACTTATCTTCGCATTCAACTCATTATTCTCTTTCTCCAGAGTTTGTACAACTGAAGAACCAGGTCCCTCACTCTGTGCAGTAAGCAGCTCTGCTTTGAGTACAACAATTTCAGCCTCTTTACTACTCAACCACACAGTGAGTTCTTCAATCTCATGTTTAATACCAAGAGGAATCCGAAAATGCTTGAATACTTCAATGAGAAAGTATCCATACCCCATTCCATGTACTCCTTTCCTCTCAATAACTGTTTTGTGAATGTGTTCAATCATGAGACTAGGAAGGCTCAGAGCCTCAAAGCTGCACAGCAACTCCATTACGTACAAGTCAGCAGCAGTAGCAAGTGTCCTCTTTTCTGTGCAAGGAAGGACCACTTTGTTGACGAACTCGAAGACCAGCTGATATTCACTCTTCATAATTTTCTTATATATCCCAGCAACCTTAGTTGTGGGAGTCATAGAAATCATAGAGGCAAATTCTGAAGAGCAAGTTTTGCTCAGCACGGACCGGGTCCCCTCTGTAGGCACTCTAAGGATTCTGCCCAACACCACCTCATCCAAAGAAATAGCAATATTGTTCACACGTGTGAGGAGACTCCTATCTTCCATGAATTGAACATTGTAATAGAATTCACGAACCTCTTCTTCATGGAGGATGAGGGATGGGGGATTTCTTGTTGAACAGGTGCAGCCAAGATTGGATCTCCACCATGTCATGCAGAGAATCCATGCCAGGAAGAGTAATAATCCCCATATCAAACACTCTTCCAGCGAGAACTGCTTGTTTCCTCAGACTGTCAACTACTTCCTGCAAGTTGACATGCTCCACTTTCCTGGCTTGAGGACCAGGTTCCTTTGACTGCCTTATCCTCTTCCCTTTTGACTGTGATTTTTCCACCTTCCTTGTAGCCCGTTCCCTTTTCTTTTCTGACTTTCTTTTCTTAGTTTTCTTCTCAACCTCTTCTCCCGACAACTCAACCAATTTTCCTTCAGGTATCCTAAAATTTGATACCTTGAAGGTTCGTGAATTTTTGAGTGCAGCAGCAGAGCGAGCACTTGCCTTCAAGGCATCTACTATCAACTTTTGTGCAGCAGACCTTGTATTAGGTCGTCTCTTAGGAGCCTCCTCCACGACCTTTTCCTTCCCTTTTCGACTCTCCACCTTCCATTTTAATGGTTCTTCCTCACTTGCAGATTCAGATGAAGAGGAAGAAGAATACCACCCTAAATCGGGGGTTTTATCGAAAATGGGTTGAGAAGGCCTTACCTCTTCTCTTTCCAGGGCATCAGTGTGTTCTGCTCTAGCCTCTTCTCTCATCATTACGAGGCTCTCAATCACGAGTTCCTCACTCGCAACCAGTATATTAGACTCGGAAGTCCTGTGTTTTGGTAGATCTCCTTCAAACATGTTGTCAGGTAACATGTCTTCACATGGACCAGGTACAGTATGTACTGTAGAAGTGTTTAGATAGATGGGGAAGAAAGGGTTATCAGGAGTATTTTCTGGAGGACTGGGTGGGGGAGGAAGGCTGGCTTGAGCAGTTGTTGGAGAATAGAATGCAAGGGGCGTAATTTCACTAAGTGCATCCAACAGTTGCTTAGAAGAAGATGAAGAGGAAGACATGTTTGTGATACTGGAAGGGTTCGTTGAAGAACAAAAAGAAGAAGAAGAAGAAGACAGATTTGCCTTTGAATTTGATAAGCCTTGTGATAAATGAAAGAGATAAAGTTAAGAGACGGATGAGAGTTTCAAAAAGAAAAGACCCCTTTTAAAAGAAGTGAAAAGGTGTCAGGTCCTTGATTAGATGCGTCGTTTGAGGGAGAAACAATTGGACTTATCGGTCAGAGTTACCGATGACTGACACGTGGCATTTTCAACGGTCAAATTTTTTAGTTTAAATTTAATGTAAAATGCTAACCTGGACAGGTACCAGGTACCATGGTAGAGTTTAACTTCATTCCTTAATTGTTCTAGTCTCTTCTTTTGCTGAGCAGGTCCCTATTGAGAGTATACCTACGAAAGATACAAAAAGGGATCTTGTTCAAATATTTAAAATTCACACAGAGGATACCTGCACTGCAATTCTAACCATCAAGGGAGTTCTACTGTTGAAGGCTAAAAGCATCACTTGGAGATCAACATCCCCAACTTTAATCGATTTCTCTCAAATTGATCCTTGCGGAGAGCCTTAGTAAAGATGTCTGCAATCTGTTCCTCCGTTGGACAGTATGTGAGCACAATATTTCCCTTCTCAACATGATCTCTCAAAAAATGATGTCTAACATCAATGTGCTTTGTGCTCTTATGATGAACTAGGTTCTTTCCCATACTCACAGCACTAGTGTTGTCACACATGAGAGGAATTGCTTTGATGTGGATTCCAAAATCTTCTAAATGTTGCCTGATCCACAGCAATTGAGAACAACAGGCTGCAACAGCTACATATTCAGCTTCAGCAGTGGAAAGAGCCACAAAGTTCTGCTTCTTGGTGCCCCAAGAAATAAGTGATGATCCAAGGAAATGAGCCATTCCAGAGGTGCTTTTCTTGTCAACTTGATAACCTGCAAAATCAGCATCTGCAAAACCAACAAGATCAAAAGTATCACCTGTAGGATAAAAGAAAACCAGGTCCCCTGTTTTCTTCAAGTATCTAAAAATACGTTTTGCAGCCTTCGGGTGTGAATCACGAGGACATGCTTGAAACCTAGCACACATTCCAACGCTATATACAATATCAGGCCTGCTTGCAGTCAGATATAACAAGGAGCCAATGATTCCTTTGTACATTGTCTGATTCACAAGGGGATCAGATTCTTCTACTATCATCTTGGAATTTGTTCCCATAGGAGTGTCAATAGGTTTGGAATCAAACATATTGAATTTCTTCAGCAGCTCTTTGATGTACTTCTCCTGGCATATTGAAATTCCATTTGATGATTGCTTGATTTGCAGCCCCAGGAAGAATGTCAACTCACCCATCATACTCATTTCAAACTCCTTTCCCATCAGTGATGAGAATTCTTCACAGAGATATTCTGAAGT